ACCCACTGTGAAAATGGTCTTAGAAAGGTGGCCGTTGGCTAGTTGGACAGGGACTGAAATCCCATCTGCACTTTACATGGAGCAACGCCGGACAACAGGGTTGGAATTGCTGGCTCAAAAATGAAGGCTTTTCTTATTCATAGCTTTAGGAAAAATAGTTTCTCATGTCTAGATGTCTTGGTCAAAACTAAGATGACATGTTTGTCGTTGTGTTGGTGGCCCTGAGAAGATTAAAATAGAGGCTCATGGGATGGTTTTATTAAGAACAGCTTTGGATCTTAACAAAGAGGGGTTTGCAATACTTGAAGAAACACGCGAATTATTGACATAACTGTCCTTGTTGGCAATTACCTTATTCTGTAATAACTAACATACTGACAAATGATTTAATGATGACCACAAGGACTGTCCTGTCAAAGGTTTTTGCAGCCAGCCATTTAAAATGCACATCAGCTTTAAAATAGTTATTTAAATATCTCTTAGCAAAACATTGAAAACTTATTTGGTCCACTATATATATAAAATTTTTAACCAAGGGGATAAACCCCCTATATTTTACACTGTAATTTTATATGAAAAAGGATAACATATATGCCATGAAAACCCTGGATGTAAAGAATAAGTTAAATACATTGTTTCTCGTATTGCTAGCAGAGATGTTACCTTTTGACCTTCCTTTTGAGATTTTTTTAGACCATTTGATGCTTCTGATAATAGTTTAATATTACTTTCTTCACATTGATTAAATACACTTCATACATCACTGAACAATGAGTAACATTCAAATAAGGCTGTCCACTGAACTGCCTGCAAAAATGATAAAGTAAAAAATTAATCTCCAAAGTAAAGTCAAGCCTGAAATTGAAATCTTTGACGCATACATTTCGTAATTAGTTCATTCTGCTATATCTAAAATGCAAATACAGTGCTCTTAAAATAATTCAGATCTTCTTGCATGGAGCAATAATGAATTGTTCTAGCTTCCGCACCTCTGACTTCAACAGTCTGGAGTCCTTTGACTTTGTTGTCGTTTGCTTTGTTAAGTTGCGGAATTTTCTTTTTTATAAGGTTACTTAAAGCGGTTCTCCTTATCTCTTGTGTTGCTCTAACATTGTTTTCAGTCAGTAGATCCACCTACACGCCAAGGGAAGTGAATTTCACAGAATATGTGCAGAATGAAGGCATAAGGAGTCCCCCCATTGCTCTGTTGTCAGCCGCGTGTGACCATTTTTTAACGGTCCAACTGTTTGTAGGACTATTGTCTAAACCAGAACAGTGACATTATCTCGTCATGGGGTTGTGCGTTGGTGGTTGGTTTTTTTTTGCATGTGTACATGGTTTTTGTTTTGTTTAGTATTTATGTATTTAAGTTTGGGTCATTTTCCTCAAATAATTTAGTTGGTGACCACAGCAGCATTAAGCAGGTGACAGCTGGTGTTTGTGAATGGGCAGAAATGTTGTTGCCACACTGTCTTTTACCCAAAATCTTCTGGCAGGTACAATGCTCTGTTTGCATTCCCGCAGCAAGTGAGTGGTAACATAAGAAATGGGATGTATTCATTGCCTTTTGGCTTTTCTACGCTTAATTTTCACGGAGGTTTTCAAGATCAAGTTTTGAATATATGCCCCTGAATCTCACTTAGATGTCAAGATCATCCTCTTGGGTCTGGCTGAGTTCCCGTTTTATGTGAAGGTGCTGACTAGTTATGAGGCTAAAACCTTGCAAGATGTTGGGAACCGAAGGGTTAAGTCATAGGTAGCAGTGTGTTAAAATAATAAGCAAATAGTCATATTCTTTGAGTGTCACTTCTAAGACAATGAATCATTACATTCAAGGGTGACAAAATTGCAAATAAACGATGCAACTTCACTGATGAACTGAAGGAAAAATAAATCTTACATTTTACCCCAAAGGACATGGCCATCTTCACCATACAAAAATAAGTCTTCTGAAATAAGTGTGAAAATTCAGCTTGTGAATAAGGAAAGTCTTCATTTCATAACATCTAAGCAAGAAAAATAATTACTAAAAGGAATTTTTAATGCTTATGAAACATCAACACTTGTATATTCTGAGAAAGCCCATACGTAAGCCGATGAAAGCAGAAAGCCAGTAGACTGACTTCCACTCAGCTGCGGTACAAGTGTGCTATCTTATTTACATGTCTGTTTCTTATTTGCCCTGGCTGTAAAACAAGCATTTATTTCACGGATGTTCCCCTGCAACTGAACAAAACAGCGTTCAAGATCACGATGGAAGGCGATGCACAGCAGGCAGCATAAAAGTTGTCTCCTTTTAAATATATGTGTAACTCTCATAGCGTCAGTAAGAGAAAAGGTAAGGATAACAACAGAGTACAGGCACAGCAGAAAATTAGAATGAAAATATTTTACAGAGATGGATAGAATAGGTTCAGATCTCACTTACAACATACACCTAGAATAATCCTACAATTTTGCTAGCATCTGTTTCTCAGAATTAGTCTTCAGGTCTGGGGTTTAGGGTATAGACAGAGAGGAAAAGGTCCAATCATAACGACATCTTAAAAGCTCAGAAAGCGTCCTGGAGAATGTAAAGTTGGGATAAATGTTCAAAATTATCACACTTGCTTCAAAAAAAAGTAATATTCTTACTGATTTTTACGCAATAATACAAGTTCATTTTTGTCAATAGTCTACCAATGCTTTGTAGTTAACCCTTCTCGGCACTAACAAAATAGTATCCAGTGACAACTCTACATATCTTTGTATTCATAGATAGTTACGGAAGTACAAGGCAACTACAGCTGGAGCCAGACTTTCTGTGGACAGATGTTCTACTACTTTTGCAGAAGAAAAAATTAAAGAAGGAGCTGGAAGAAGAAACAGAAGAAAAAAGTGACAATAGGAAAACTATTTAGATCATTATTTGTAAGTAATCTGGAACTGTCATATTAGCAGCTGTGATCCGTAAATTTTAGCATAACAGAGAAAGATACATAAAATACTTTAAAGGCGGATACATATAGATCACGTACTATCATGGTGTTTCTACAGTGACTATCCACAAAAACTGGCTTTAATCTGTTGAGGCTAATCTTTCTAGACTGCCTCTATGGTTAATACAGTAATTCAGTGCCCAATGGACAAATCATAATAAGAACTCGCTTTTTGTTGGTTGTAGATCAGCATCCATAAATTTAGCCCTTGTGAATCAACACCTTGTGGGCACTGACGAGACTGTGCTGCCCGGATTTGTAAACAAGGTATTTTGCTTCTGCCTTTTGGAAATAACTTTATGAACAAAAAATAACAAGACAGTGTTGAACTATTTGTAGTTTCACATGCTAAGTGATAATGTTAGCCAAATTGTCAAGAAGTTATAGATAAAAAATTAGAGGGAATGAAATAAGGTATGATTTGGAATCAGGAACTGGTAGAAGACTGAGAAAGATCAGGATGAGGACGGGGAAGTTAAAGCGGGAAACAATCAGAAAAGTCAGAACCGGAATAAGAGTAAAAAGTGCTTTCGAGAGAACAGGTTAGACTTGCACTGATCACAGATTTTTGCTTTCCTCTTGTGAAATGCAGTTTGCTCCATCTCCTCTCCCATCAGATGTGTGTCTGTAAGCATTCAAAAGCAAAGTTTCAAATGCAGATGGTTGAGTTTGAAAGACCCGCAGACTTCCTAAACTCACCCAAATTTGTCTAGCCTTCTATACCTTCATACCTTCTATACCTTCAATCACACTTGTGTGTGATTTTTATTGCTAAAAAAAGAATACGGTACAACTTGACGTGAGAAATTAGAAACGTGCAAGCTAATTGGAATAAACTTTGAATAAAGCAGAAGAGTGTAGACACTATACATCTTATTTAGACTTGAAGGATTTTTTTGTTTTGCATGGATTTTTTTGTCTTGTTTATTTTCTTGGCCGTTAAAAGATTAAATGGTATCTGAGTAAAAAAAAAGAGAAAGGAAAATTTTAATGTATAAAAATATAAAAGTTTTTCTTAGATATTATGTATTAGAAATTTAGAAAGAGCATGTGTTAGAATAAGACTATCATTCTTTCCAGGTTCTTTGGTATTGCAAATTGTAAACTGTTTCCACAACAGTCAATTGAGGCCAATTGTTTAATTATAGCATCAAGGTAAGAGTCAAGGATTTTTAAGTAACAGTGACAGCACTAAATGCACTGTTTTTTCTCAGCAGCCTGATGGTTAGCCACCCCAACAGCTAATCGCTAACAATTAAAGAAATCGCCCTTTGCTCGATGACGTAATTCCCATAAATCGTTAACCAACCCCATTATTGAAAAATAAAAGCATTATGCTTGTTTCAACATTTCACCGTGTAAGTTCATTGAAATTCATTAAGCTATTCCAGTGTGAAAGAGGAATAGCTTCGCTTTTCCTGAAAACAATTGAATTCTTGTAACAGCAGAGGTAGGCAGAGGGCAATGAAAATCCGTTGAACAGTAACTGTAGGAAGTAGCTGCACTTACTGCAGGGAGCAACAGATGGCGATATTTTCTTACATGTTAGGAGAGTTAAAGACGGTATCTCACACTAATACAATTATAAATCTTATATTCACAGTTACTGAAATCCAGCATAAAAATAGTTTTTTTCAGAAACTCAGTGTATATGTCACTTTTGGATAAAAGTTAATTTTAGAAGCATATTACATTGTAAAAAAAAAAAACAAAAAAAAAAAACAAACAACAATGGCAAAGCCAACAACTCCCCCCTACTTTTACACACCCAGAATTTAAATATAAAAACATCCCACAGCCTTTCCCTGCTAAGGTCACTGTCTGAGTTTAATTACTGCGTGGCCTTTGAGCCCAGAGGACGATATGATGTGAAAGAGCACCAGGAGAAAGATGCTCCCCAAGGAACGCTGTTAATACGAGGGATTTTACCTGTTTAGAAAAGATGCAGCACACAGGTCCGCGAAAGGTGAAGAGGCTAATTTTGCTACTTGCTGAAAAAGACTCTATAAATTTCCTGTGCAGCAACTGCACATGTACTTGGCCTTTGCGTGTGAGCGCGAGGAGGCAGCTCTCAGTGGAACGGAAGCCCTCGGAGCGCCCAGGGAAACACACGCCGGGCTACGAGTCCGTGACTGCCTCGGAAGTTCACTGGTAGGTACCCATGTGAATTGCCATAATTTCTTCTGGCTTGTCCATAAAGCAGACCAGCTGGGAGATCAATCTTTTAGCCAATTTTTCCTCTAGTATTTTAAATTAATAAAAAGTGAGTTTCTCTTGTCTCTAACACAGAGAGAATAGTAAATCATACGTGGGACTATTACCGCTCCACAGCCAACATGCTGCCACATCAGAAACTGTACTTGGTTCTAGTTCCAAGAAAGGAGTATTCATGCATTAACGTACTACTACCAGAGAAAAATAATAAATATATATACATATATACACGCACAAATATGCAGAAATTAATCATTAGATTAAATCCTGAGTGTATAATAGAGAACCAAAATCCTGCCATTCACTGTAGAATACCCATTTCACCCCTTTGCATAAGACACATATATCTTTCTCTTTTTTTAAGTAATTCACATATGAATTCAAACCATACAGCAGGTTCTTGCCTTTTAAAATACACCTAGAAATAAAGTGTTGGTGAATTTGATGATAAAGACAGATCCTCAAAGGACAAGAATGAAGAAACATTTGAAAAGGATGAACTGCCAAAAATCAGAAGACAATGATACTTTTATACTTTCTTTGGAATATTTTCCCATGCACTTCTTTCCTCTGCTTTTCCTGTTTTCTTTTTAAATCCAGCCTGCCTATTCTATCTCCTTGTCCAGAACTATGCATTATACTTACTTTTCTAATGTAGTTTCTGTAAGGAAGTTAGAAAGCTGGGCCATAAAAAGTAGAGACTCTGAAGACTAATGTTTGTATATTACACTCAATACTTTAAGCTCACAGAGCATTTTATCAACCTGAAATTCAGCTGTTTATTCAGACCTCAACAAAAGCTCTCTGCAGGTCTTAAGAAAGTGCAACCCAGCAGTTTGAGTTCAGAGATCGGCACGTTATAAATCATGCCTTCCCAGGCCTTGCTTTTGGGGGTGTGGGATTCTGACCTGGATGTTAGGGTAGAGGTTACGTTAGTGGCAAAGTCACCGGCTGATAGCACTCACATGGGCTGTGGGAAGAGAATGACGACTGAAAGTGTTATGCTGGTTTGTGTTTTAAGACTCAGTGTTATGAACACAAATTGGCTTTGTTATTTCTTAGAAAATCAATGCAACTTTATAGACAGCTATCCAGCTGTCCTTCACTGGGTTTGAGAAAGAATTGAGTTTAATGCTTTAATAGGGCCTCAATATTCTTCTGTCATTTCCTTGCTTTATTAGCCACTATTTCCTGCAAAGAGTGTCACAAATTAATCTGAAGAGAGCTAATGTGCTAGTCTAATGACGGATTGCTTTCAAGACTGATCTCAAGGAACTTTCCTCCCACCCGGTGAATGAATCGTAGCCATTCAAGAGTGGGCTGTTGGACAGGTAGGCGAAGCGCTCTTTGCTTTAAAGCTCTCCCAACATCAGGAATGATCTTAGGACCACAATATTGTCAAATAAAAACACTATACTGTTATAGAGGCTCAGATTAGTATTAATATAATAAACACAGACGCTGTGTCCTTCAAAAATAGGGAGAAAATATCAGCATGTATGCATCGTTTGCCTTTAATCAGAGGTGTACATGCTTGAGATGCCAGTAGTTTTATAGATTGATGTGCAGTTTACTACTCTTGTTTTGTACTTCCTTCCCTTTAGAGATGAAATCTACAGCAGCAGCATGACAGAAGATACATTAAACCAGTCACTGCACCCATGAAGAGAGAAACTCCATCTTTCTGCAGTAACAACAGAAATTCAAAGTAGGTTTCTTGAATAGAGCAAAGTGTCTGACTCCAACAGCAGCATTCCCTTTGCATCTCCTGTAAACCAAAACAAGTCCACAAAACTGAAGATTTATATGTCCAGGACTATATTTTCAAGTTCTTCTATAATTTTCTGATAAACTAACTTTTCGTTACATCTCAGCTTCTGAAACCTTTTTGTGTGAAAGCTAAAATCCAAAGAAAACTCATCAGAGTTCACCTTTTGTAATCCTTATGAATTTTAAAAAGAAAATGGTTTTGCTTTCCTGAATCCCTCTTGATTCTTACCCTCTCAAAAATAGAACCGTGTGCTCTTTCTTTTTTTTTTTTTTTTTTTCATCAGTAGGTTCTGACATGCTTTTTTCTTCATATCAGATCTTTGTTTTTTTGGAGACAATGTTCTATGTCTGTTATTACCAAAATACTTAATTTTGAGCTGGCTGCAACTGTATGTGTTGTATGAACTGTATCGCTGCAGGATTGCTGCTGCAATTACACAAATAACATCAATAAAAAATTAACAATAAAAATGCAAAAATGCTTTCTTGTTCACATCAATAGTAGCTGTAATCTGTATGCTGTCATTGTTCACATCAATAGTAGCTGTAAAATCTGTATGCTGTCAGGGCATAAAAAATAAAAACTAACTTGGTTAAAGTAGTTTTTCATGTTAATATGGGAAACAATGCCACCTTCTCAAGCTGTTGATGTTGCTTTAATGTTGTTATTTATCCATGCTTGAGAAATTGTTTCTGATTAAACTATGTGCTGGTAGATTCTAGAACCATTCCAGAGACTATTCTAGAAACTAATATAGAAAACAAATAGCAGACATCTAAAGACGTAATATAGGACTAAACTATCACTGGCTGGTTACCTAGTTGGAGGTCTTACCTATTTTTTATGCGAGAAAGGCACACACAACTTTTCTCCTTGGTTTTGCAACCATTTTTCAGGGGCCGAGTGCGTGTTCCCTGGCTGGGTGCAAAGGCTGGTAAGTTCTCTTAGTGAAGTGAAAGACTGTTCTGAGAGGTGCCCGCCTTTCAAAAGGTGAATGATTTGAAAGGATTGATTAACGCAAAGTGTACTAATAGAGTGTGGATTATGGGACAAATCTGCAACTCTTGATGGATGCTCAGGATAATGGGACTGAGAAGTTTGTGTCAACATGCAGATCACCTTTCTATTGCGGTTTAAAGTAAACTGTATTAAGGCATTGCTCAACTTCTTCAGCTGTAAAAAGCAGTTGAGAAGAAAAGCATAACCCACCTAATTACCAGAAGGAAAAAAAAAACTTAACATAGAGTTACTGCTATTTTTTGTTAGGACGGGTCACTGGATGAGTGACTTCATGTCAGCAATATCAATGCCTGAAAAACCAACTGCGTATGAAAGAACTGAAGAGAAAATTCAAGGGTGTCCTGTTGTCCTTCAGGTAAGATGGGTGGAATTCCTCAAGTAAAGACTATAATTTATGAGATATATATATATTTATATAGAGATTATTGTCCCAGCTGTTGTCATTGAACTCAATATACTTCTTATGAGTTTAGTATCTTTTATATTCTTTGACCAATTTTTTTTGTGCGTTATGGCAACACTGGAATTCCAAATGCTAGTTCTGTTGGGAAAAAAAAAAATATATAAAATAAATGGTTAATGAAAGAACATTTAAGTTATAACCCAGAGTTTGGAAATTACAAGCTAAGGCTTCACATGTATTAGTTTAAAATAAGAGAAGTATAAAGTCAAATGAGAAAGGTGTGTATGAATATTACACTTTTAATCTCTTATCTGGCTGATAAAAACATTCTATATTTTTCTAGTTCCAAATGTGTACAGTGCAAACCACTTTTCTCGGATTTTTCATGACAGTAACCAATGTGCCGTAAAGACTGATCATACTAAAAAAAAGTCTTGTCTTTTCAGGTACATGGTATGTGCTTTTGTTTTTCTATAGCTGCTTCATCTCAGTTCTTGCAGCATTTAAACCTGCTGCTTACTGATCTGAGAAATACTTCTGTATGTGAACAGAGGTGTGTTTGAATCTCCCTCCTGTTTTTTTCACATAGGTGACGCACACTGCAAAACCTTTGTACAATTTGTTCCTCAGTTTGTGATTAAAATCGTTTTAAGATTCATGCATTATAATAAAAGCGAGTGAGGTTCGTCTCGCTGAGCACCTCCCAGCTCAGACAAACTGAGGTCATTATATGCTCCAGTGGTTTTCAGGGGTGCTGGCATTCATTTGCTCATTAAATAAACGAGAAGGCTCACTTACTCTCCCCTTTGCTTTCAGCCTTTCACTGAGCAGAGACATTATTAGTTGCCACAGATCTTTAATAGATATCCTTTCCGTGCCTCAGTATTGGGAACAGGTGAGTTTGTTTTGCTTGACTGTATACGCTTTATTGTACTGCACTCAGGTGATTGTTTCCAGTCAACAGATACTTTGAAAATAGAACGTAAAAATGGACGACTGAGAGAAAATCATACTGAAAAACGGGAACAGAGAAAAGGATACTGGAAAGAACACCCAATTTAAGCTACCGTATATTGGGCTGCCATTTGAGCCAACCTTTCTTTTTTGGGGTTTCTATTATTCCATATGAATAAAGAACATTCATTCTGATATAAATCAAGTCATTTGAAAACAATCAGCTGCATTTTGCTGTAAAAATCTAAGATGGCATAAAGGAAATTACTTGCCGTTGATTTCCTTATACTGAGTTGGGTTCTTTAGGCCTATATAAAGCTTAAAAACATTGCATAGATGACCAACATGTTTTGATTTGGATGTCAATTTCTAAAAGCAGGTGTGAGACGATGAAACATAGAGTGTACCCTGCTTTAACTTTTGATTTCTCACATCTTTTTGTTATCTACTGCCTCCAGTAACAGTAATTTTCGGTCCTTTTGATCTGGAAGTTTTACTAATTCAGCTTCATCTGCCTTTAGATTAGCAGATTAATTTCAGAAGGTGTTTGCTGTATGATTTTGGATGTGAGGGAGGCAGGAGGAAATCTGATTCTTATGACATACATGTGTGCTGGGTCTGGCTGGGATCAAATCAACTTTCTTCGTAGCAGCCCGTATAGTGCCATGTGTTAGGTTTGTGACCAGAGGGATATCCCGTGTCATAGAGCAATCACGATCAGCGATAGATATGAGGGAGAGTTTCTCCAAAGTATTCACGGCTCAGAGACCAGGCGGGCAGTGGTCTGCGGGGGAGGAAGTGGCGAGTGATCGCTTTTGCATCACTTGATTTTGTGTTTGTTGGCGTTTTGTCTTCACTTGATGTAGTGTCCTTATCTCGACCCACACGTTTTTTCTCGCTTTTGCCTTTGCAATTTTCTCCCCGGTCCCGCTGGGTGGGTGTGCGTGAGCGACTGAGTTGGGGCATAGCTGCTGGCTGGGGTCAGCCCACCACAACATGTCTCAGATGTGGTACAGCAGAAAAATATAAGTTACTCCAACTTAAATTTCCTTTAGATTTACTTAGATTTACCTCTGAACGTGACCTTGTGATTTTTATTATTTTTTTTTTACTATTCGTGAAGCAGTGCATTTTGAAAAGTCCTAAATTACAGCATCACAGAATGGTTATCCAATTCCATATGGTTATCTATTCATATTTCACAAAACAGGCTGCCAGGCAAGATGAAGGTGGTGTTCAAATGGCTTTTCCACCCCTTGAGGGTCTGATATAATGTTGAAAATATATAACTAGTATATATATAAAAAGTATATAACTAGTATTTTATTTCATTTCTGTTATTGTAGAGTACTTAAAGAATGCTTTCTATTATAGAAGGAGACTCTTCTGCTGCAGAACAAAGTATTATGCCTTTGAAAATGAATGAGAATACCAAGAAAAAATAGCAAGGGGTTATGGTTTTTTAGTATAGTCATAGGATACAGTCCAGGGCATGGATCACACGTATCTAACACAATGATATAGGGTCTCTGACAAATATCTCCTCTTCTAGTCTGTAAAGATAGCCACCATTTAGTAATTGTGAAAATCCTGGACACTGAAAATCTGTGACCTTCTGGGGAGACTCAAACAAGAAACATTTTAGGCCAGACTGTCTTTTCGTTCCATCAAGAAAGTGTAATTCCTACTAATCTCTCAACTTTATAACTTGGCGTTTTTACATTTTCCTTTCATAAACAGAATGTTTTACCGTAGGAAATAGAAGGAATGCTCATTAATTTAGTGATGAACTTGGAAAGCAGTACATTTGGAGATATTCCAGAACCACATTTTAGAAACTCCCTTGGTCATTTTATAAAACAAACAGACAAACAAAAAACCCCAACAAAACCCTAACAGCTCCTATCATTATACAATTCAGAGTCTCCAGACCCTGGCAATAAAGGCAAAGACAGCAAATACTCATCTTACACCCAGAGAACAGACTTTTCCCTTCTAGATATTGGTGTCTACAAAGTGACAAAACCACAGAATTTAACTTCTCTTCAACAATAGCTCAAGATAGTGTCAAGGGCTGTGAATAAGCTATAGAAACATTCAGGAAAGGAGTGTGAAGAAAGAGCTAAAAACCACGACACCACTGAAGGAATTGCTGTAATGGACATTGTAAGTAAAAAGACAATCTTAAAAAGTCTCAGTTAACTCTTTTTTTTTTTTTTTTTTGGTGAAATTGCATATAGATTGTTTTTCATACAGCTACAGTATTTTGTTACAGAGCTAAAAGAAGATCCTTTCCAAATAAATGCTTAAAACTGTCTTTGGAAATCCTTTACCTTGATTTTCACTTTCTTACAGAAAAATTGACACTATTAGAAAAAATATTAATGTTGAATAATCATGCTGTTTATTTTTTGTATTTTAATAGTCTTTTTAGCTCAATCTTACCTCAAAACCAAGAATGGACTAAGAATGAATTGCATTATGTATAGATATTACTTTGAAATGTTTGTGAAAAGTTGAAGGCAATACATCTATAAGGTCAGAATTCTACACCATCCAGAGCAACGATGTGCCTAATTTGAGAGCATAATTAATGTCACTGTATGTACAAATTATTCTAGTTGCTGCCTAAGTGACCATTACTTTTACAATGTTTTAATCTATGTACACAACTGCAGTCATTGCGCAGGTTAATTAAATGCTATTGAAAATCAGACTTGGTGTAAAGGTCATATTAAATAAATATCAGACTACTGTAAAAATTATTAATTGATCAGTATTGCATGCAGGATGATATACATTTCAGAGTAGGCTTCTGAAGTATTTTTATGACATTACTGTTAATAATTTTTATTGTTTACTCGATACATCTGTGAGAATGTAAAGATTGATTGTTCCTGATATCTTTAAATTAATTAGAAGAAAAAAACCTATTTGGATTGTGAATCCATTTTATAAAAAGAAATAAAGATTTGAGATTAGTTCAAAGACTTAACAAACATTAAAAATGTAAAAGAATTTCATGTTAAATTCACAATATTTTTAAATATCCTTAATTATTGGATGGATGTCAGTCATGTAAATTCAGATCACTTCAGAATTTACAGTCATCCCAAAGCATTATTTTGTTTAGTTCCTGCACTATATTTGGATTTATCTCTAATAATTAAAATATATTTTGATTTCAACTTGTAAAATATGCTTATACCCACATTCTAGTTGTTTCTATGAAAATTACAATGGCATAAATAGAGATTAGCTTCCAACACAAGATCCAGAGCAGCTACTACTATTTGCTAAATGGGTAGTGCCATTTATAAAAATTCCCTGTTGTCCACAATGAGCTGATTGAAAGTTTTAAAATTGAAGTCATGCAATCAATGCCAGGAACTAGATATCACAAACAGGTGGCTCAAAAGTCAACAATTGCTCCCTGCTTCATACAGTATGCCAATTAATTAATTAATTACGCTTAAGGCAACATGGACAGACAGTAATGGAGAGAAGAGACCAGCAGTGAAGTTTTTCCATCTTTGCTTTTTAGCAAAAATGCATAACTACTGTGTAGAAGAATAGTCCTTTTTGGTTTTTTGTCTGTTTGTCCTCATTAGTTTTAAACGTGTAATGACCTGTTTTCACAGAGGTTGATGGGATTTTCCATGCACATATTGAAGCCTAATTGTAGGCACTTAGGAAAAAAAAATCACAAACTGAATTAAATCAAGGACCTACAAAGTAAAGTACCTGGTGAAAAGCTTGTCACTTTCCTGGTTTATGGGTGAATTCCTTGGTTTTCAGTGCCTTCCATCTTCAATTCTTTTTTTATGTACCCAAACAAATATCTTCATACTGTCCACGATTTCTGATGAAGTACAGTGAGAGGTGCACACCTGAATTGCTCTTGTAACTCAGAAAATCTCCATCAAAAGTTATTTTTTAACCCACCAAGCAATTTCTGTTTCATAGCGATTAGATCCATGCCTGCTCCATTGATTTTTTTTTTTTTTTTTTTTTTTTTCTCCTCACTACTTCTTCCAGTTCTTAACCAATATTCATTCCTTCTTTGTCCATCTTCAGGCAGCCTTTACCTTGTTGCAGCTGTATTCCCGCCCTCAGATAATCAACACCATTTACCTCTCTCATAAAAATGATAAAGTTCAATGAAAGGTGATAATAAAGGGATGATTGTGTGGTAGTTATCACTCTGTAGATATAACTAGTAACAGTAGGGATTCCCGACATATCATCCTTTCTTCGAAAACTGCCAATGTAATTTCTTTTTTATGCTTTTGCTAGCAAAACTGAATCGATGGGCTAAGAATGTATACACTTCAACTAACTTTAATGAGCAGCATAAACGCTGACATGCTGCTTGGAGAATTAATAGATGGGAAAGAGGATAAAACAGATATGTCCCTTTCACAAAGCTATGATGTCGGAAAGAATTGTGATTCACTGTATCAAAAATAAATACACAAAAGGGGGAAATCTAGGAAGCCAAACAAAATGAGGAAGAAAACCACTTTAGAAACTGGGGGGGGGGGGGAATCTTTTTTACATTTTAGAACCTTCAAAAGTTTGTCTGGCATTGATGTGCTACATAAAAATGAATGTAAACCCCATTCAGTACTATTTCAAACAAAAATGGTGGTGCACTTTCAAATTGTGAATTTAACATCTTGTGTGCTTTGAGAGTTTTTAAGTGTTATTCTGTGTGTAAATAGGAGGCAGATCCTACAGATGATAAAAACACTTGCAGTGTTTTTAACACGTGTTGAAACAGTGTTTCAACCCTTTTGATAGCAGCGAAAATGTTTTGCTTGTGTTTCAAATGCAAATTTTCTCCCTTCCTGAAGGAACTTTTGAGACTCCTTAATATTGCATATTATTAAATTTTGAATTCTAGCTAATTTTAAAATTAATTGCTCAATTAGAAACAAAATCCTGTATTGATGTTCTTTAAAATCTCAGATGAAATTCATTGTAATAGCATTAATTGTGTGTGACTCGGTTACCTGAAACATACTCTGTTCTTTGTATACTTGGTTATAGCACAAAGAATATAAGTTTAAGATGAAGGCATATTGGCTTATCTAAGATTTTCTCTT